AAGTGGCAAACTTGTTCGTTTTTCTTTCTTTTTTTTTTACTGTCAGAAAAATAAACAAAACAGAATGATCAGATTGTCAGTTGAGAGGAACAGCAAATATTACACATAATTGTTGTATTTTATAAGGGTGATATCAATGTCACAAGTATAAAAAGAAGAAGAGTAAGTGTGATTTATAACGATAAAATGTTTTGATCATCAAATAGATTGAGAATATTTATTTAGTTGAAATGAGTATGCACAAAATTTTGTTGCTTGATATCGGACAAACACAACAATAATCATTTTAGATTTTGACACCGACGACACTTTATGACCTATCCTCACTTCAATCTCCTACTTGATATGCATATATACATAAATACATGAAAAATTCGTTGATATCCTAATGATCATTGACTGCATGTACATACGTACACACTCACATTTATGACACTAGGTATGAAAAAAATACGACTAATTGATCTGCAGTAATTTCATGAGATAATATTATGCTATGAACTTCATTGCTCATAGATATTGTTTTGACATTCAGCTTTCTTCAATAGAAAAATATGATCATTAATCAAACAACAATTTTTTACCAAGCTAATTAATGATATAGACGTATCAGCACTTTTCTCAATTAATTTATTATTCAAATGATTTTCATAAAAACAACAATTGCTAGATTATCTAGAAAAAGAATCGAACGAGTGGAGCATAAAAAATAGATCTCTCAGTAGTATTTTGCACATATCTCAATAACATTAAAATGTGAAGAAGCAAAGTTTTCTGTTTTAAAGATGCACCTTCTAATTCTCTATAATCTTACACATTTCAACTGATTCGATTAGGATATGCCATATTGAAAGCGACGACAAAACAGATATGTCTGAAATCTATAATTTTGAAAAAAAAAATGCTTTTTGTCAATTTTTGTTCAATGCACTTTAACTCTTGAGTAAGTTTTTTTTTAGTCTTTCAATCGGTTTGAACCAATAAACAATAAAAACATCACATTAATGATGTATTTTAAAAGTTTCAAAGTCGAATGAACATTTCCAGAGACTGGGATAATACCGCATTTACAATTTCACACATGAATAGCACTAGTATACGTTTGCGTATATTAACAATAGTCTTTATTCAGAGACAAATAAATTGATTTTGAAACTTTTAAAATACTTTGTTAGTTATATGTTTTTATCCTTTGTTTGTTCAAGCCAATTGCATGACTGAAAAAACAAAACTTACTCAAGAGTTAAAGCTCGTAGAACAAAATTGGCAAGAAATTTTTTTTCAAAGTTGTGGATTTTAGACATATCTGTTTCGTCGTCTATTCCGAAGTAACAAATCCTAATATACAATTTCATAGTAGGATCATCTGTATGTCGATTGTCATTGTTTGATTAATAACAATACGATAGCTGTTGCATGTTTAACTAACGTATCTGACTTGTTAATCTTATATATTACTCTATTGAATATATAAAAAATAATTGAAATGAAAAAATCATCGAAAGGCTATTCTATTCTTGTGAATTTTCCGAGAGTAAACGAATGAGAATGCATTAACTTATTAGGAACGAATATCTTCAGTATCAGCCATTTTAAAATTCCTATCTATTGTTTTTGTACTTATAGAAGACAAAAAAAAGATTATGTCGTAGGTTCACATCCATTTTGATGTTTGTTAACTCTCATGTAACTTATACTAATTGAAATGAAATCCTTATCTGAAAGTAAAAAAAAAATGAGAAAAGAGAGAAGTTTTTAATTGCTATTCAGATGAAATACAACTAGTGTCTCTTCTATCGAATTCATATTTTGCAACATGTAACAGCAGTAAAGATCAGAAAAAAAAGTTCGGAACTTGCATAAAAAATCCCTTTGAAGAAATATGTGAACGTTTATATTTACCAAGCTGCAACTTTCTAAATAAAAAAAATATATGAAATCATCAAGAACATAAGGTTTGAAATTTTTTTTTTGCAGGAGACTATTAGCATTATGTTTTCAAACAGTATAAACGATAAATTTTAAATCAAATAAAAGCTCACTGAAAAATAGAATGTATGAGTTCAACTTGTAGTCCACAAGATAAATCTATAATCCTTAATGTTCTATGGAATACCAACTGAACCCTTAAATATGAAATCATAGTGTTATCACACTGAAAGAACATTTTTACACGTTCTACACTTTTAAAGTATCTTCTTGTAGCGGAAATGAAAGAACTTATCAAATTACTTGAACATAATTTGATTATTTTCTTTTTGTAAAAACCATATATGATTATCAATTGGTAGTTGTTCAGTGCTATTCAAATTAGTCCTATTTATATTTTAAAATTTGTCTTTCTAGTCAATAAATAAAATTTTTGTTCATAGTTGTTTAATCGATTTCAGTTTGTAAAAAGAAGCTCATTCTAACATTTGATTACGTTAATAGATTATGTTTTCATTCAGTTGATTGTACCAGTATAAGCTCAAGAATTATAGCTGAAGAAAGAGGAATTGAAAATATGATACATCTAATCCTTTTCTGTTCAATCGAGACAATTCTGTTTATCTATTATTTTTTGAAAACTTCTTTACTAATGCAGTGCGATGCACAACATTGTAGTAGACTGATGTGAGCTTTTTCCTTTTTCCCAGTAAGCATCGTGTTGATCGACCAATTGTCGTAGAAAGATTTCCATCAACAACGTACTTTATAAGTAATAACATGTTTAAAGAAGAAGTCAATTAGAACTTAATGCTTTTTTTTTTATAGAAAAAAGGTAAATGGCATACACAAAATCAACTTTTTTTTCCAGCGTGTCATATTTCGAGAATGAAACATTCACTTTGACTGAAAAATTTAGGGTATTCTATAGATCATGAAGTCTACTTACGAGTAAAATTTCAGATAGAAATTCTTTTCTTTTGGTTCTTTTATATCTTATCCAAGGAGCACTTTTTCAGATGTCATAATCTCAAAATCAAAACTGTACGCTGTATTTATGAACAAACGAAGTCATAAAAACAAAAGCTTACATCTACAAATCATTTTTTTGGTTTTAACTAATCAATTATTACATTTAGAAGCCAGCTAGAAGCGTTTCATTTTTCATTCTATAGCCTTTCATAGTACTTTAACCTGAAAAACTATTCGTTTTTGAGTATAGAGTTTTGTTACATTTTTTTATATCAATTATCATACTGTCTCTTGGGAGAAACATTCAGCTTTTAAAGGTTAAGCTGAATATCTACACTTAGAACGCAAATATCTCTAAAATGGCTCATCCCTTTGAGCTGAAGGCTACATATTCTTCTTAAATTTACTTGGTCTACCTAATATAAAGATATTAGTCAAATCGATCAGGTCGATTAAGCAATGTTGATTACGACTTACGTGCAATGGCTTCTAGATACGAGAAATTTTTGTTTTGACAGATTATCAAAGGCAACAGTAGTAGAAGAACCAGTCTGAAGGTGTCTATGTGAGTGTGAGTGCAAGTGAAAGGAAAATTCTCACAACCACACCGTACATCCATCACACACCTTTCGAATTATTGAAGAAAGTAATATTCAACAAATGTAAGTACCAATAAAGGTGAATATTTGTGAAAACAACGCCCGATACTATTTCATTTCTTTCAATCTTAAGTGTCATATTCATACACTTATCGATAGTCTATCATTGAGCTAAGACTGAAATCTATACGATAGATCCACTAATTATGTCTTGACAAAGTTGATGATTATATGAATGATTGGTAGAAGCCATACATATGTGATTTCTTGCGACCAATTTTTTTGATTCTTTTTCGTGGACAAGGTAATGTATTTACACATGGTACCTTTGAGTAATTGCTTTCCTTTGGACAACAAAGGTATCATAAGAAATCGACCAATGAAGCATTTGGTTGACTGTCAGAATTTGGTTTTTTCCAACTTGCCTAACACATGAACCAGCCGATACTCACGTGGCAGCGACGGCATCATAATGTCGATGCTATTACGACAATGAAATATCACGTACGTTATCTGAGAGTAATGAGAAAAAACAATTATACACTACTTCGATGAAAAATAAAAATGCCGAAAAAACAACGATGGATGAAAGTAAGGATGTAAGAGTGTGGATGAAAGAGATATCTCCTTCCATACTCTATCATTTTCAACATTTGTATCATTTTTGTTTCGAATATTTTTACTTCGACCAAAGTAGAGGGAACCGTCAGAAAATCCTCCGCAACTTTTACCTTCGCATGAAATTTCAGCTGTGGTCTCTCTCATGGTCACGTCGGAAACTAATGTTTAAGCAAAGTGTTAGTTTGATTGTGAAAAGTCACTTCTAAGCTTTTAAATGCTTGGAAATTCCGAAATGATAGATGAATAAACCATGAAAATAATGTTTTAACTGATTTCACTTTTCGACGTGACTGTGGAGATAGCTATGGCTGAAACTTTCGACGAAAGTAAACGTTGTCGGAAGACATTGTGACATAATTATATAATTAGATCGACTCACACACTCATCATTGAATTTCATCTAATGAAATAATACCATTTAAATCCCGAAAAAAAATGCTATCAATTCCTCACCATTTCGGTATTGAATTTTCGCGATTTTTCTCAGGTGTTAATCGTGTAGCTTTTCCGTCCTCTTATTTACGTAAAACAATATCATGCTGTTTTCTACCAGATTTCTCGAGAATCCAACGGTGAACGTAAAAGATATAAAGGAAATGTTCCAATAAAACTCAAATTAGTACAAAAAAGACTGAAAAATCAATATCTTTTGTCACAGTTACTGCCAACTGTTTTCACAGACTATTTACATTGTAGTACTATTCAAAGATGTGCTGTTTACTCAAAGAAAAGGCATTATAAGAGTTTTTTTGGACGCACAACCAGAAATATCTTCCAAGATGAACGCTGAAAAAATAGCTTTAATTTGTCCGAATTCTATTTTGAGCTAACACCAAAATAGTACGACATTTTTGCAGAAAATATTGCATCGGTCGTTGTTTAATTATGTTGGGAAAAGAAAAGATAGAAACAAAAAGTATATACGAAGAGTGAAAGCGGAGGTGTAACGGCAGAGTTTTGAAAATGAATAGTTATGATATCGGTGACTGTATTAATGGTGGCAACAGTACTGCTAATAATGGAACTGATGTTATTAGTATTAGTGAAGCTCTGTTTGTACTGGATTTGATAAAGACGGTTATTGCCATCTTCGGAAAATAAAAGACTACCATCTTTCAAAACAAGTATTCCAACTGGCCTTCCAAATGTATCAGGTCCAGGTGGATTAATTAGAAATCCATTAACAAAATCTTCATAGTAACCCATTGGTCGATTAGTATTATTATTGAATGGAATGAAGATAATTTTATAACCAGTTCCATTATTTCTATTCCATGAACCATGAAATGCTGTAAAAACACCATTTCTATATCGACTTGGAAATTGATTGCCTGTATAAAATCGCATGTCAAGTACAGCTGAATGAGCTTGAAAAAGAACATCAGGTGTTCGTGTAATTGACACTAGATCAGGTCGTTCACTTGTTCCATTATTTAGACGTCGCCTTGGATCAGTTAAATTTGCACTCATATAAGCAAAAGGCCATCCATAAAAATCATTCTGTTGAATACGTGTAAAATAATCAGGAACGAGATCATCACCAAGTCCGTCTCGTTCTTGACATGTTGCATAGAGATCATTGGTAATTGGATGAAAGGCTAAGCCGACAGCATTTCGAAGACCATAAGCAAATGTTGTTTGATTACTACCGTCGAGATTTGCTTGTTGAACAGAAGCTCGTGGTAATAATTCGACATCGACATTGGACGCTGAACCAATACTAACAAACATTCTATAATCATTAGGTGATATAACGATAGTTCGTGTTGAATGACCATTTTCAGCATAATTCATTATTATTTCACCCGTACCTGTAATTTGTCGACTTCCAGAAGTCCAAGAATAGCGTCGAATAGCATCTCGACTACCAACATAAAAATATCCATTGGCAAAAACCATACCAAATGGATAATTGAGTCCATTAGATGCGTCAGCAAATGTTAAACGTTGATCTGGATAACCATCTTGATCATTATCTACGAGACATGAAATTCGATTAATACTTGATTCACTAACAAGGATATCATTTGTAGGTGTATAGATAAGATAACGTGGCGATATGAGCCCACTCATATATAAATTTACTGTAAATCCATCTGGAACATAGATGAGAGGATCTGCTGGTACAGGAGTGATTCGAGGCCCCTTAGAAGCGGACGATGTAGCGTAGGGTTGTGGAAGATCAGCAATGGTGACAAGAATTGGCTGTGGAACAAAACTAATATTTTTACAATGGATTCGATGAATTAAAAGTAGTAAAATGAGTAGTGAAAAAAGACATGATACCAATGAAGAAAACATTTTTCCTGGGTATACTTTAATTTTTCGTTCTCGCTGATTCGTTGTGTCAGCAATTGCATGCAGTATAACTCATATATCAATAAGCAAGCAACAGAGCGAATGAAAATATATAAAGCAAAGATTTAGAAGACCACTCGTGGCAGCGATACATAAATGTTTTCTTTTTTTCTTTGATATCGAGAACCACTTGTTTTTTTTCTCTTCTGTAAACTAAACGCACTTGAATAGTTGTTATATAGTATGTATTTTACATTGATTATATAAGTGCATATATGAATGTGGGTTGATAGTTTATCATGAATATGAATTACTAGTCATGATTTACATATTAATATTTTGAAAGACAAATATAAATAAATCGTTCTTATTCACCAACAGATTTATCTTGTTTCAGTTCCGATAATAGCGACATCATTATATTATTGAAATGAGACATACATGAGTGGCAAACGAATATTTCCTATGAAACAACTTTAAAAACATTCTATTGCTTGAATAAATAGAAAATTAGTGTTGATGATAGATATCTGTGCTTTGAGAAACAACGTAGAAGATAAGAACACCATCAAATAAAACCGTAAATCTACTCCCCAGCCCAAACCTTTTTCGACTTAATCACCGACAATTAAAATAGTTAAAATCATCAATTTGATACTATCGGGCGATTGCATGCAATAGTATACGACAAATGCAACATATAAATAAATAATAAGTTTCATGAGTCGAAGTTTTGTTATATTAGTGTCCATCAAAATGTAACCACATATGTTAAAAACCTAAGATGATAATTTCATCATAAAAAATATATGTATTTTGATTTATTACTTTGACGACCATCAAATCAACATCATAGTATCTGATTATAATCAACAAGCATATCAATAACAACCTGTTGAATTAATGAATTATATGTCCTTGCACTAAAGCACAGAAAAATACAAATGTTAGAATCATACTGAAAGTTGTAGTGATCAACCAGTGAATTTTGATGTTCGTCATCCAACGATTTTAATAGGAAACTACTGACTACCAAATGTCTTGTACCTATTGTAGATATGAGCTGGCCGACGAAAAAGAAAAAACAATGAATTTTATGTCACAGATAACCATAAATTCATCTACATAATGCTTGTGTTATCTGCAGAAAAAGATGAAGAAAACACAAGCAAAAGACTTGCATCAATCGTCTCATTGAAATAAAACTGATAAATGAAAGAGATCAAAGTCTGTTTTAATCTTCTCTTCAGTCACATCGTTATCTACACCCTCAGGATAATTTAGGTAAACAGAGATAACTTGCTTCATTAATTATTTTCTTTGATATTTATCTTTTATGATTTAATCGACTTTCGTTATGATTTACAAAGCCATCTCATGCTAAAATTTAACTTCAAATGAGCGTGAGACTGTAGGACGGAGGAAGAAGGGAGTTGAGAAAGAAAAAAAGACTCTTGCCCTTATCTCTCAAAATTTGATGTAATCAATAGTATTTTCAATATCAGACGTGCCAATCAACAACGGAAAGTAAAGACCATCTGCTTCTTCGGTGAATATACACAATATTGTACAAGTTGTTGAGAAAAATAGAATATATATTTAGTATGCTTTACTGAAAAAAATTACATTTGTTGTTTGAAGATCGTCCAGAGCGATCTTGAATGAAAAAAATGTAGATAAAAACTTTTTTCTGATTTGATAGAATACTATACTACCTATATTTACTTCTTCAATCGGATTTTTATTATCTCATTCAAAGTAACAATAAAAATATGTTTCGTAATTATTGTCATTCATTATTAACTATTAATATGTATGCACGATACTAAATAATGAAACGAACTAAATAGCAGTACTTAAACTACAGTTTTGTATATTTTGACATACTTTTTTTATACAAAGAGAATATGCACATACAATTTGACAATATGAACAAAATGTGGAAGAATATATTGTTTCAGATTTTCATTCGAAATCGTGGCAGTCATTGTGCTTACAAAGCTCAATATATTTTCTAGAATATATATATGACAAATCTTTTTTTTTCTCGTGTAATTTCATTGTATTATATGCACTATCTAAAATAAGATACATGTATATAGTCTACCTATTGAATTTATTTTTCTCAATTAATTCATATAGAAAAAAAAATGAATGCAGACATAATGCGTTAGAATCGAGTAGTCATGATTGCTTGATATAATGTTTGTTCAGAATGATCAATGAAAGATAAACTTAAGTGTGTATTATTGTGTCACACCAAAGCAAATCCACTTTAAACTGGTAAATCTGCCCAAAACAATTTAAGTGAATCAGCTAGTACATCTTTAGCATGTTCTTGACTTGGATCTATGAAATTAGCTGCTCCTACAACAAAATAATTCATATGTACTCCATTCATATTATTCGTCAAATGAAGTAATATTGATTTTGTTTTACTTTCAGATTGTGATCATGTCCACAGATATATGCTGTTGCATGATATTGATGAAGTAATGGACGAAGTCGATCAATCAAGCATTCAATTGGACCATGTTCAGCTATTGAATATACTGAATAATGACCATTGGCAAGCAAATATGGAGCTCTAAAGTATATCAGAGAGGAAAATAATGAAAACATAACTTGCATGGATATACAGCAAAATACAGACGTCGATTGACGAATTTGTTCTTCAATCCATTGCCAATAGGCTTCGGCAACATGTTGATTTTTCGGATCTTCTAATGGAGCATGATCGCAATCTGATAGAGAATCTCCACCACAAAGTATGACTGTATCAATCATGATGAAATCGATTAATTTCTTTTGTTTATCACTTTGGCATAAAGAAAATGAATAGAAATAATCAAGAAACACCCTTTAAATATCGAAATGTATTTCTTCTAAGAAGAAAAAAGATCAATGTGTATACTAACCATCATTTTGATTTTTTTCCATATTCAATTTCTGTTGAAACATTTCCTCTATGATCATGATTACCAGCTAAAACATGCCAAGAAGTTTGTAATGATGTCGCCGAAAATACATGTTCAAAAGTATTCTAACAAAAAAATTTAGAAAAAATAATTTCAGTTCTTCGTTCGAAACAAAACTACACTTGAAATCTTGAGTTGTTGACTGCTCGAACATCATAATAATAAAAATTGTCACCTAATGCCAATTGAAAAGTTGTATTCAATTTTACACCTAATTTGCCCATTGCATCAGCTATAGCAACTTCAGATGGTGTATCAAATGGCAATACTGGTAAACCACTCCAGTCACCAACAATAAAATATCGTGTTGTTTCATCATCGCTTTCTTCCGCCACCAAATTATATTGACCTAAAATAAAAGTAATCAAACGATGGTATATGATTTTATTTAGTTGAAAAAAAGTACCAAAACTGGTTGGAAATGCTGCTGAAAGTTGATAGAAGATGACGAGATATGCTAAAATGATTTGAAGCATTCTTTCGTTGACAAAAACTCAAATACAAAAAAAATAATGAGAGACAAGAAAATAAGTATGTCACAAAAGTTAATAGACAAACAAAGATAACAGCTGACGAACAAATTTTAATGACAAAGGGTTCATATGTATTGAAAAAAGGAGAAAAAAACAACAAGGATTAAGAACTATATTCCCATTACATGTGAAGAAAGTTGACCGTCTATTGAAGTATTTTCGAAAACGAGCCGCTCCATTCATTGACTCAACTGAGGTATGCAGTAAGCTACATTCAAAGTAAACAAAGGTATTAAGAATAAAATAATCGACCTATATATGGCCGCTTGAGCATCACACTAACACACAACGTTGAATGGTTTGAAGTAGGTGTAGGTGTGAATCGTCTCTTCACACATCCACACTCCTTTGCAGAGAACTGAGTCTCGACGAAATCGAAATTGAACAACAGCTAAAATACTATCTTAAACAAAATGGTTCGAATGAATTAAGAACATGAGAGAAAACCAAAAATATGTTGCGCCATTCTGATTTGTTGAAGTGAAAAGTTGGACTGCAGTATTGTGTTCTTATTCTTCACTTTTATTTTTCACATATGCAATCATTTGCTGTCATGAGTCGATCCTACCTTCTTACTTTATAATAGAAACAGGGTTCTCTATTCAATTTTGTTTAAGAATCAGATTCATTTACGAAGAATTTCGAATGCATAACGCAAATTACGAACGCATCAACATTTGGTACAACAACATCAGTTTTCGACTTGAGTTCGATCTCGATATTTTTTGAAAGTTACAAATCGACGACACTTGCAGATATATTACGTAGCAGAATAAAGTTTGCTTTCTTTTGTCAATTACGACTTCTCCCGAAAAGTGCAAACTGAAAAAGTTCTAGTTGTTTCGCATCTACTCGACGACGAATTCACCACCAATACTTTCAATTCAGTTTAACAAGAAACGTCCCGTTTACTTAATGCAGAACACTGTTGCATAAACCGGGTGATAGATATTGATTGAAACTGAAAATAAAGATTTACCCATCTGTTTAATTGCGCTGAGATTGTATCACACATTTTTGCTATAATTTAAGCGCATTAATGCATATTCCTTTAGTTGCGACGCAATCGCTAAGAAAAATGCCATATAAAACGGTATATGAGACAATCAATGATCCTCCACGAATACGCACCAATCTCTCATTTGAAACATTTGGCGCATGCTAGAAAAATAATAACGTTGATGTTACTTTCGGGAATAGAGATAAGAAAAAGCGTTCGCTATTTTGAGGATGAGTAGGGATAGCATTTAGAAAGAGGATTAAAAAAGTAAGTGACACTGTCATCCACACCATAGGTTAGACTATTTCTTGATTTCTATAATTTTTTTCAGAGATAGAAGTCCAAAACTCTCTAAAACAAATAATTCATTGTTTTATTTGATGTAGATCAATATTCCACTAAAATGTCTAGATGGGTGTGAATGTGGATCTAAGTATGGATGCGAGTGTAGAACTGCAGATATGGGTACCGGATGTGTGTGCTTCTGTGCGTGTTTTGGTGAGTGCCAAGGAAATCCTCACAATTACACTCTACACCCGCTACACATCTTTCGAATGATTAAAGCAATCGATTTTCAACAAATATTAGTGGCAATCAATTTGAATATTTGCGAAAACAGCACCAACTACTATTCCATTTGTTCCTATTATAAGTGTAGTAAACTCCCCCCAGAATAAAAGGCCATGGCCTTCTATTATGGGATGGCCTTCTATTCTGGGGGGGGGGGGGGTATGTACAATTTCCTTGATGGTCTATTATTTATCCAAGGCTGCCATCTGCACGATAGGTCCAATGATTATGTCGTCTTGCCTTGACACAGTTGATGATCATATGAATCATTGGTAGAAACGATATACACGTGACATCTTGCGCTCACTTCCTTTTTAATCTTTTTTTCGAACAAGGTGATGTATTTGCACATGGTATTTTTGAGTAATTGCTTTCATTTGTGCAACAAAGAGAACATAAGAAATAGACCAATAAAATACTTTGTTTATTGTCAGTAGTTTATTTTTTCTACAGTAATTCTTGGAAAGCATGAACCAGCCAATACTCAGGTGATGTCAATGATATTATGTTATACATAATATTACAACAGCAAAATATCACGCACTTCTGCTTAGAGTGACGGAAAAAAGCTACACGCTACCTTGGTGAAAAATCAAAATGCCGAAAAAACAACGACAGATGAAACTGAGGATGTAAGAGTGAGATGGTAGAGATTTCTTCTTCCATACACTATTATTGTTAATATTACTATCGCTTTTGTTTTTGATACTTTTTATTTCGTCCAACGTAAAGGAAAACGTCACAAAGTCCTCCGACAACTTTTACTTTCATTCCTACACTTTAGCCCTGTCCTAGCTCATGATCACATCGAAAAATAAAGTAAGGCAAAACGTCAATTTGATTGTGAAAAGTAACTTGTAAGTTTTTAAAACAGAAGAAAATTTCGAAATCACAGATGAATAAATCACCAAAACCATGTTTTAATTAACTTTAATTTTTGATGTGACTATAAGAAGGACCACAGCTAAAATTTTCGACGAAAGTAAAAATTGTCGAAAGATTTTCTGACACATAGATCCACTCAGTTTTCTCTGTTGATTCGAAATATATCATTTGTTTTGATAAGAAACCTGATTATACTGCTCAAAATCGTTCAAATATCAATGAAAAAGAGACACCTTTTGACGCTCATGAACTTTGTGCATTAGACTAAAATATCTTCCCCCAAAATTAAGCTCCACGCAATAGTACAACTTTGTACACTGTTAAAAAAGCGTAGAGTAATAAACCTTTCAAAGATTTGCTGTTTATTTTTGTGAACGCTTGAAAGGTTAATTACCTTCGAAGCCGAACAAGGGTTTATGAAGCTAATAAACACTTTTAAAAGGTTAATAATTCTACATCTTTTTTAGTTTAGAGCTTTCAAAATATAATAGGAAGGCAACTTAGTGATGGGCGTCCTCAGATCATACATACAAGCGAACGATTTCATCCAACAGTAAGAGAGAAAGATAACAATGTTTCTTCGTACTTCTATCTGACATACGATAGAGGAGAAAAAGAACATTCACTTAATATAATGAGTGAAAACTTTTTCATAGTAAAAACATACACCATGAACTTATAAAAAGAATAGGTAATATTGAGTTTCGAATCAGCCATGTGTAGCATAAGTAAAATCTAACTGTCTTATTGCGAATAACAATCGACTCATGCAATCTACATTGATCATTGGGAAAAAAGAAACTAAATTTTGAGAGGGGTCGATTTCATTACTTAACAGCTATTTGTTCTTTTAAAGTGAATATGTGGTTGAAGGTGCGAGCCTTCTTTTCATGCTCACACTCACTGAAATATCTTTCTCGATAATATTCTTGGTGTGTATTGCATGTTTTCAAGATTCAAGTGTGTCTCCGTTATATCAGATTTGTTTCGATTATGACCGAATCAGTAACTACCACACTTGAATACTTCTCGGCTGAGATCTTCATCGAAATATTTTCTTATCTCGACACCTATAGTATTTATCAATCATTCTATGGTCTCAATAGTCGATTATCAGCATTGGCACGTTCAACAATGCATAAATGTCTTGATTTACGTCAGGTGGCACTTGATAAATGTCAACAGGTGAGTATATAAAATATTTAACAAGTAATGAGCTTTAGCTTTTAATTTTGAAGATTCTTGCTTCCATCGATCGATCATGTGTTGCCACTCTCCTACTATCAAACAAATACAACGACGAACAAATTGATAAACTGTTGGATAATAGTTTCGAATATTTACGCTGTTTGACGCTGGAATCTGTTGGTGTGTTTACAATTCATTGCATTGTTTCTCATAATCTTCTCTCTACTCATCTGGAGTCACTTTCAATTGAATTTCGTGGTGATCAATGTCGTGAGAAAATATATAAACTATCAATCGTGATTCTCGATATATGTTCATTGCATTTGAAATCATTGAGATATTTGGTTTTATCTACAAACGTCAATGAAAACGTGGTAAATCTAAATGAAAGAGTTAGGTATATGACACATCATATAACAAACGATCTATCATGTCAATATCTACATTTGACAACTATCTTTCTAAATGAGTTGCATTGGATTCTATCGCATCTTTCAGATTTACAGTCACTAACCTTTATTGCTAAATTAAAGTCATCAATTATCATGTATCCGCCATTGCCACATTTACATACCTGTACAGTCTCACTGTTTCGAACAAAATTTGATGCAGTGTTTAGCTTTTTGATGTCATGTCCAAGACTTCAACGACTCCACCTAACTATGGCACCTGTTGGTAGGGATTCGATCGATGATAGTCAATGGCAAAACTTAATAGAACAAAATTTACCACAACTGAAGCAGTTCACTTTGTTACTGGTAACAAAACCATTAGAAGGACTAGTCGCCGAGCATCTGTGTACGACGAGTTTTAAAAGAGATTTATTTTGGCAACAACGAAACACGAGCGTGACTATCTTAGTACAAAATGTTTTGATGGACGAAACTATTCAAGTGACGATTAAGATTCAATTTGGCTATAAATGAAATTTCTCCAATAACTTGCGAGTTGAGATAACTAATTTGTTATTTATTCCCTGAAAATCATTTAGACAATTCTATCCATAATTAATCGATCATGAAAGAATTCGATCTGCATATGTTGAACAACCGTAAGCTTCTATTGATCTCATCACATGATAGTCTCTCGAATTCGATTAATTATGTAACAGAGCAAGGAATACAAATACTTCTTCATTACTAGTAGCCATTCTTTGGGCTGAAATTTCACGAAAAGTTGTTGAAGCTCAGCCATCGTATTCGCACATTGAACTTGCAGTTGATTGTATTGCTTTCATCTACAAATATCGTTCTTTAACTAAAAACATACAGAATTATTTACTCTACAAAAAGTCCTTCACTTCGCATTTTTTCACATTACTTATTATTTGAAAAAAAAAGTAATGAAATCTATATAACTTCAACAGAAAAACTTCTCTTCTTGAGTTCCTGGTCGAAATCTGGAGTGTTCGTGTGAGCTCGGGTGGATTTGGCTGTGAGTATAGGAGTGTTTGGATGAATATGAGAGTACCTTTTTTGTCCACACGAATGCCTACCTACACTCACATCTTCTCTTCACTTATTTCAACGAATAGATTTATGTGCCGATGAAAATTTGAGTGAAGCTTGATCGTTGATGTTTCAAAAGAAACTTTGAAAAATTGTTATCAATCAATGTCAAATTGAATAATAATTATAAAATAGTTGATTATTTATTCATTTCACTATTTCTAGGCAAGAAAACAACTGTTTAATATTCGATGTTGTTGATTGATTAAAGAAGTAAGCATGTTCGTCAATGCAACAATAGTATGAACTTCGTATGAACATCAATATTATAAACTAATTTTATAAGTTCAACGAACAAATAAGATTTTCATTTGTAGAGCATGAAACTTATCAAAAAGACACATGTTTTTATCGCTTTTTTTTTCGATGACTAATTCTACATACACTTTATTGAGAGTGTTTTTTCATAAGCTATAAAAAAATAATTACGAAATATTTTTCTTATCGTTTCATGACTCATACATCGGAAAAAGAAAACGAACAAAAACCATCATGCACTTAAAAATAATAATAAAATGCTAAAAAATATAAAAATAAAAAAAAAAAATATTTGACGGAAAAGAAGAAGAATAACTTTTTTATTAGTGAAAAATTCTTGATTTTCTTATACACGTAATTTTTTTTTTGTTTATAAGTCATCATCATCATTTTCGGGTAATGGATGAATCGCTGCTTGTTTTAGCTCCTCTTCATATTTGCGAAGCATTTCTTCGTCCATATATATCTCAGGTGGCTAAAAATAAAAAAGTCTAAGTTACAAAACCAAAGAAATTTTAAATTACTATATCAAAACATACTGGTAATATTGCTGCATGAACAAATTGAAGATTATCATCTCCAGCTAATTTTCGTGCCAACCACAGAAATGGTTTTTCAAAATTATAATTTGATCGAGCACTAATATCATAATATTGCATATTATTTTTTCGATGAAATGTTATTGATTTAGCTTTTAATTTTCGATCTTTAACATCGACTTTATTTCCACATAAAACAATTGGAATATTTTCACAAACACGAATTAAATCTTTATGCCAATTGGGAACATTTCGATAAGTTATACGTGATGTTACATCAAACATTATAATAGCACATTGCCCACCAATATAATATCCATCACGTAAACCTATTATTCAAGAAACAATACAAATTATTAGTGATAGTCATTATTTCAATAGCTTACCACCAAATTTTTCTTGACCTGCTGTATCCCAAACATCGAAAATGATTTCACCCAAATTTGTATAAAAATTTAACGGATGTACATTAACACCAATAGTAGCTTCATATTTCTTTTCAAATTCACCCGTTAAATGTCGTTTGACAAATGTTGTTTTACCTAAAAATGTTCATTATCGTATATTAGACAAAATACAAAGAGTAATCAAACACACCAACACCACCATCACCAACTAAAACTAATTTAAATTGTGGTACATTTTTTTCATTTGTTGCCATCGTTGTGCTCTCAAAATGAAGAATACGTTGAAAATGCGTAATAGTGATTGATGTGCAAACATATATATCATGTAATTTCGCAAGACAACAGAAAAATGTTTTTTTTTTAAATATTTCATAGTAATTACGTAATTCAATGTTAACATCGAGCAACCTTGGAGTAATAATACGCTGCAGACACTTTGTCAAATAGTCATTGTAAAAAAATGACACATGAGTATATTTTCTATCAGAAGTTTGCTGTACTTAGAAAAATATAGTGCAATAAACGATCATATTCGATGTTATTTATCTCAGCTTTCGAATTGATCGCCTAGAAGTTTTTGTACGATCTACTAATTATTCTAAATTATATCTCTTTCTGAATCGAAACGATTATGTAAAAGACTTTAAAAAATGTGCCATTCTAGTTGGCCTACTCTATTCTAATAATTTTATTCGGATTTTATCCATATTACAGTAGTTTCAATTAGAGTAGCTATATCTTAGGAACTCCCTCCCCTTTCTGGATGTTAAAATCAAAATTTGTTCTATTTTTGGTTTTTTCATCGCTAATATAGTGCTTTTTCATACTGGTTTGTATTTTTGTTCTTGGTTGGAATAAATTAGTTTAATTGGAAAATAACTGTTAAATTTAAAACAAATATTCCCAAAACAAAGAATTGAACGGTGTCGGTTAGTCGCGGTTTACCGGAAAAAAATCAACGGTTTACTGATATTAATCGGAAAGAACCACCGATTTACCGTGGTTAACCGAAAAGAACCGTCAGCTTACCGCGGTCATAGGAGCCGATAACCGGACCGGTAAAATCGTGGTAAACCGACGCAGGATATCTTAGGTCAGGATTCGCTCCAAGAGGGCACCAAAAAACGAAAGCGATGGACTAAGATAGAACTCGAAGAGCTCTATCAAATGGCCATCTTTGGAGTTCGATTCAGTACTCCCGTCCTCGACAAAATGTCCATAATGCCCTAGAATCCCAGATTTTTTGTCAAACGTGTCGCGATTCGCCCAGTGAGGAAACCAAAAGATAAAATTGATGGACCTACATACAACTCGACTCTGTTCTCGGGTCTCGAGGAAACCAGCCAATCAATGCCGAAATTGGGTAACTTTCTGTATAACTCGTTCCGATTCTGTCACAGAAGGGACTAAAAAGCGAAACTGATGGACCAAGGTAGAACTTGACGAGCTCTATCTAATGCAGATCTCAGAAAGCAGTTTGCACGCTGCTTTCGCCTAAAAAAGGGCAATAGTGTTCGGAATCTCATGAATCTTCTGAAATCCGTCGTTATTCCGCACACTATCAATTGCAACAATACCAGTGGTAGTTACGGTAACAGTTCTACCAGCTCTCTCCTTTTGAATATTGTGGCACAGCAGATGTATGCTTCCATGATTTATGGTTATGGTTGTTTTAGCAACTGTATGCCACATAGCACACTGCGCTTCACATTATTCCATTTCGCACATCAGTTGAGAAATGGTTACAATTATGTTGATTTGTTTTGATGTTCATATGTCCTGTGTGCTTTTTCATTCCTTTGTGTATGCATGAATACAAAGAAAAAGATTTTGTCTTCCGATCGAGTTGAGGTGAATAAATGATTAATTTTGATTTCTATCATCAGTTTCTATCGAGGGATAAATTGTTTTCTTGGCTCCCGATCAGATCGTTCAGCAAAATTTTTTTTCTTCATTGTTGACATTCACGGAGGATGGACTTGTTTTCTCTTTCCTTCCTGCTGGTATAGTGACTTATCATTGGAAGACTTTCCTTTATAAGAACAAAAAGTAGTCAATATGCATATTTGAAGTGTTGTTTGTACATTATTTAAATGAATGTCAATGGAAATAAGTTTAGGTGAGGATTTTTTTCTTCAGTTGTAAGCATTTCTTCAAGGCTTTGTGTAATTACATCAATAGCATAACTAACAATTGTTAATAAGCGATCGTGGAACATGTAAATTAATAAATGGTGGTGGTAGTGATGGTGATAATTCACTTTTAGGAAAATCAAGATGAACATTTATTGGTGGAACATTTTCATTATGATATTCATCTATACCCTCAGTATTTAAGAAAAAAACGAAAATAAATTTGAGAAAATAAATCAATCATATCAGAACTTTCATTTTCAAATAATTTTGATTTAATTGTATCAAATTTCAATGAAGAAAATTTACCAATACCTAAATATTTTACATTACAAGCAATAAACATTTGTTTACTATTATCTTCTATTATAAAAATATTTATTTGATTTAATTTAATAAATACATCATTACCTTATATGAGAAATAAAAAATTTTTCTTTTCATTTTCATTAAAAAAAGCATACCGATTCTAATGCTCTCATTCCATTATATTTTTTTCCTGTCAAACTAATACTATCATTATCTAATTCAATACGTGCTACTTTTTCTTGTTGTTGTTCTTCTTTAAAAAATCGTTATTAAATATAGTTGCATTAATATCAGTATCTAATTCATCATTAAGATCCCGTTGTGATGAAGTTTCATTACTATTATTACTCATATTCATCGATGATGATATGAATGAACCTCGTGAACGTCTTGCAATTGTTTCTAATGCATTTTGAATATTTTCTTCAAATTTCGATTGTTTTTGTTCTGATAAATCAAGATTTTTATTTATAATCGGTTTTTCTATTTTAGTTTTACTAACAAGAATAGGTGCTGGTGCTGGTATTGGTTATATATCAATAACGACATTTTATTGGATATATCTTGTACGCTACATTCAATATCAAATTCAGATAAACTTGATAGAGTAGGTGTAGGAAGAGTAACAATAGCATCTTCAAAACTATCCAAGACAACAAGTATAAATGTTATTTGAACAGTTAAACAGATTGTTATTTTTATTTCATTAGTTGAATTATTTAATAAAAGATTTTGTTTAATTAAATCAGTTTGATTTTTGTTTCCTTCAAGTACATAAAAAAAGAGACCTAATTCATCGACTAAATGCATAATAAATCTAAATTATTTTTCAGAAAATTTTAACATAGATGAAGTTTCAAGAACATAAAGAACATTTAACCAAGAATCTAATCCAAAGATAAGAAGAAAATTTTCTCAGAAACTGATTGATATTAATAATCTATTACTTTTTCGATTTTATCAAGTACAATTCAATCTGTCATGGATAAAGTATTAGTCATGCTTTGTTTTGCTAAACGAATTGAATCTGATGATTGCATAAAATCCAAATAGATATTTTTAATATTTAAATGTCAAATATCATATTTTTCAGACTATATAAAAAGAAACAAAATGATGTCTATTCTACGAACAATAGATTTTTCAAAAAAAAAAGTTTACCTATTTATATCGATTAACTTTCGAACTAAACTGAGTTCTCTTTTAGGGATACTCCCTTTTCAACATTTCTGGAAACGGCTCATCAAAAAAACATGAAGAGTAGAAACAAGTTTGTACTAGACTCAAAATTGCTGAATAATAAAAGAAATCAAAATTTTGTGAAAGTTGTCAAACGTCACCGAAGAAATATGCATTGTCAATCAGCACCTAGTATATTTGAAAAAGTTTCAACTTGATCCAAAGTTCTCGACAAAAACCATCTTTCGAAACACAAATTGCATTTCTCTGAGAAGAAAATGTCATGGTAAGTTTCGTTCTTTCTTTTCCCTGAACTCCTGCAAAACTTTTAACACTTTGAAAGTATGTCTGGGAAGAACAAAATTGAATTTCGATGTTCTTCTGAATACTCATCTTTTGAGCTTATTTTCTACATTAAGAGAGTACTTTATTTATACTTGTCATAGGCACGTAATCAAAGACAAAAACAGCATACCAATTGAAATTCATCTCGTATTTTCAATTTTGCTTTGAATAGAGCGAGAAGAATAAGTCAAAAACAAGCCAGACACCTTTCCGAATCGGTTGTATTACAATCAACTTTTCGAGATCAAGATACTGTCAAAAGGATTTTTTAGATCGGGAGAGAACACTTCAACTTTATAATAAAATTCAACAACTGTATACTCAAGGAGTCTTACTCTCAGTTTCCTTTTCGACCACAAACATGTAGAAAAAAAAAGTTATCATACCAGCTTATTTTTTCTTCTTACTCATTCTCATGGCCGACAGGTGAACTATGTAGAAAGCTCATTCTCAGTAATCAAACAAACATCTCTCACTTTTTGCAATGAATCAGTCGTCATTTTATAGTAAATTTCAAGTGTATTACTCACCGACTGTGCTTCTGGTAGATTACTAGTCTTTTTACTTAATGGATTATTATATAAATTTGTATGATATGGACGTTTTTCAAATAATGAATAAAAATGTGTTGTTGTCTCATTTGAAAAAAGACCATTGAGTTTGTTGAAAAAATTTTGTTGCTTTAAATAATTCAAAATGTTTATCAAGCTAATATCGATTACTTGTTAATTCTGTTCGAGTATTTGTAAGAAAATTTTTTTTGAAACATTTATTTCAAGTATATCATGTATTTTTGAACTAATAATTCATTCTCTTGGAATATATCAGCTCTCAAATTTTTATCATTTTTTCTTTCTCGTAATTTATGACTATGAGAATATATATATATATATAGATCAAACTCCAAAAAAAAATATATAATTGACTAATTCATTGCATCCAAGAAAAAAAGAAAACATTAGAATTTTGAGAGAAGAGAATAAAAAAATGAATACCTCTTGACATAAAATTACAGGTAAGATTAGTTTGAGAATGATAAACAAAGTGTCGATCCACCACCATAAGTCACGAAAACAACAAATCACCATATCATCAGTAAACATAATCATCATTATTCTCTTCAGTCAAACTGTATTGTTACACAATCACAATAATTCAATGGCCACGTTCGGTGCGGGTGAGTGTGGGTGTGGGTGGGGTGTGTGGGTGGGGGGCGTGGGTGGGTGTGGGTGGGGGGGTGGGGGTGGGTGTGGGGGGGGGGGTGGGGGGGGGTTGGGGTTNCTGAACTCAATTCCTGTGATTTCTAAAGATATTCTATAAGTCTGAGAGTAGAGTCAGTGGTCACCGGATAGGATCGCATACAGTATGATCCATGCTAACTTAGCACGTCTGTATTTTCTCCTTGCAATTTAGTGATAAAAAGCACAGTGAATGTACCTTTTCACTTTTTGAAGTACACATAACACTCGGATTTAAATCCGAGGTTTTCGCATTTATTTATTCATTTTTTTGAATGGCAAGACGGCTATTATTCATCAATCGAAAGTATTAAAATAAAAATTCACAATGAATTTGAGTTTGAGTTAAGACTATGTTGTGATAGCTGAGCTGATGAAAGCATCTCGCTAGTTCCCAGTTCTGATTCTGCCTGAGTTCGGATCCCAGCCCAGACTCATTTTTTGTTTTCTTTGTGTTTCATTCTTTTTGAATGACGAATAATAAACGTTCTAGGATACAAAAAATGAATAAGAAAAAGTATTGTCATATAATTATATATAATTACAAATATTTAAATTCTTGAAACTCAACTTTCACGTTTCACGCATACGACTTTTACGCATCATACCTTATTGTAAATTTAATCTAAACTGCCGCATGTTGTAGCCATGGATTAGCTTCATGTAAATAAATGTTCGACTTGTGAAGAAAATATTTCATTGACGAGTGGATTCGAGGCAGATATAATTGTAGAAGCTTTTTTTTTCGTGCCAAAAGAATGATGCAAAAAGGCAGAAAAAAGTAAAACGTGGTAAATATGCATGCTGTGCAGGATGGCTTAGACTGAATGTTTCAGTAACGCAGTACAAATTATGTTGTACCAACGCTTCAGACAACCTAATATCACCCTGCAAGAACTTATTCTCATTGCCATTTGCAGACAATATTCAGATGAACTTGCAGCAAAGTGATACTTTCTCGTATCAGAGATATCAAGGGCAAAGCTATGCTTTTTGGTGACAAAAGCAACAGCAATCTCACCGATGATGCTAGATAAGATTTGTCCTAGTATCTGCCTACTTCTCGATTCTTCACATCCCAGAAACGTTCGTACTAATAGAACGCGTGTTTTACAGTTGGCTTTTCGTCAACTTCACTCGCGATACTAAGGTAACTCAATTGTAACTTTCATTTCCTTGATTATGCAGGTCTTGCAAAAGAATTTTGGGACACAATAGAATTGCTTCCAAAAATGTCATATTACTTTCGCATTAAACTTTATATAGGTGGTTAGTATAGTTATTATTTAGTGTTTCATATTATGCTATACAGATGCAAACTTTTTGTATTAATATAAAGAAATGAAAAGAAAAAAAATCTCCAAGGGTGAAAAGTTCTGAGTGTGAGTGTAGGGGTCTTGATCTATCTACCGATACCCATAAAAATGAAGCGTGGAGGATGATCTTCTCACCTTCAGATTTTGAAGCAATCCACTCACGGCATCCTAAGGCTACCCGAGTCTGATCAAATTTAGCGACAATAATGTGCACCACTCTTCGTCGCTTCAATATAGAAGGCTGAAATTTTCAGAAAATACAGAGCGATCAATAAGAAACCTTTACTGAAAGTTTGGTCTGAAAATATTGTACTTCTGAGTAGGTATACTTCTCAAAATGGCAAAACACGATTTTTGAAACAGGTGATGTTATTCGTAAAATGACTAGGATTTTGTCAAAACTCATCAGATTTGGCTCATATTTACAGTGTTTGAAGCCCCATTAACTAGCTACAAGGTAATGACTGAAACCAGCAAAAAATCCTGTAGTTCGTAGGACAAATGACGATACAAAGAAAGACCAAGTTTAACTCTAGATCTCATTAATTACAAATGCACTCTGACTGTAGCTTGCATTGACGATCAATATTCACTAAGAAAGATATTCCTGCAAAGTTTCAGCTCACAAAAGCGTGAGGAACCTAAGATTCAGGTGGTCGGATACTTTTGTCCGGTACTGTAAATTCATCAAGCAATCGATCAATATTATGTATCGCGAAAACGTTAAGTAGATTACCTAGAGTGCCAGCAAAGAACAATAAATAATACACCTGAACAACTTCTATTAAGAATTAGCTGTCTGCTAAATCACCTTCATTCACATTTATTCAGAATATCAAATCTCAATAGAAGGTATTGCTTTTATTAAAAACAATTGCAGTACAAGAAACTGATTTTCAGCTGATTCTCCTTAGAATAGTATACAGCTCCAGTTCGAAGGTTCAGTCCTTGATATTTGTTCAGTATTTCGTTTATTCTTCATTCCATTATGTAAATGCACTAATTGTCGTTTAGCTTCGCAATCAGGTAATGATGAAACTTCATAATATTGCGGTGCTATTGACAATAACCATTCTGGTTTTATATCTGTTATTGTACGAATATAATTTTTTGTTGTTAAAACAAATTCATTATATAAAACCCAGTCAGGTTTATGATTAAGTACAGTCGATGGATGTAATTGAGCAATTTGATTGTCTTTTATTGTTAAATAATATCCATTTTTCTCTAAATGTGCGACTTGCATAAAAAATCCACTAGCTAATGCTTTGCGAATATTTAGATAATAATCAGGTGAAGTGAATTTCGTAGATGAACGTTTTAGATTAAATCTAAATCAATAGAAAATAGTCAAAATCAGTTAGAAATATTTTCCTCACCGATCCATAATATGTCCGAGTTGTGTCCGAATCTTATCAGCCATTACTAATGAATAATAATCAAGGTAATTTTGCTGACACCATTCATCATTATCATGATTTTGCTTGAATGCATGATACACATTCAACAGTGTTAAATGATCACCATCAATATGAGCAAATCGTGCTTTAGCCTTATCAGCTTCTGTACGTTCATCACTCGGTCTTAGAAAACATGGCGGCACAGAAAGCATTGATGCTATGGATAAAATTTCATTTGAACATGAATAATCACATGATACTATAACCATTTTAGCTAATTGTGGATCAAGGGGAAATTCAGCCATCATTGAACCTAATTCAGTTAAATCACCTTCATCATCAATAGCAGCTAAGTAATTTAATAGCTCTAATGCACGCATTAATGTTTCAGATGCTGGATGATCCATAAAGTCAAAATGAACAAGATCATCAATACCTAATTTTTTTAATTGTAACACAACGCTGCTTAAATTTAATCGAAGAATTTCTGGATACGTATTTTCGTGCATTTCACTTTTATATGCGTGTTCTAAAAATAAAAACAAAATCAAAATTGATTGAAAGAAAAGGTCGTTTTTTTGTACCTGTATACAGCCGAAAACATTTTCCTGGACGAGTTCGTCCAGCACGACCAGCTCGTTGGTGTGCGCTAGCTTTTGATATTGGTGTCACAAGAAGTGATTCGGCTCGTATCCGTGGATTATAAACTTTTTGTTTCGAAAAACCAGGATCAATGACAAATACAACACCATCAATAGTTAATGATGTTTCAGCAATATTGGTCGATACAACAACTTTACGACCAATAGCACCATTAGATTTATTTGGTGGTGCTGGTTCAAATATACGTTGTTGTAAATTAGGTGGTAAAGTGGAATAAAGTGGAATACATTTAAGTTCACCAGCTTCAGGTCCTAAACTTTCAACTTCACGTTGAAGTCGTTTACATGCATCTTCAATTTCTTCTTGACCAGTGAGAAAAAGAAGAATATCACCTACAATTACACAAAAAAAAAGAAGAAAATTTAATTTGATCAATTCAAAATAAATTAAGGTGAAAGCAAAAAGTTTAGAAACGAAATATTTTTAACGTTTTCTTCCTTAACAATAACAATTAGAACAAATCGGAGAAAAGATTTGATAGGTTGAAACAATTTCCTATCAGTAAAAGTACTTGATCGATTTTCACTAACATGTTTGTCGACGAAAGGTCTTTGGAAAACAAGTTTTCTGGATTCTATCAAAAACACTTTGCAAACAAGTTCAGCTAATAGAGAAAACATTTTTGAACAAAATAATATGACCCTGTGCTCATCGCGACCTATGTTCAACGAACGACAATTATCGTACGATAGACGCAAATGGCTGTTTTCTATTGTCTTTTGTAAATCTACTATATATTACACTTTGAGCCTTTCGTAGAATGAGGGCAGTTCGCTGAAGATAACTCAAGGACATCTACTTTTGTTCAGGAATATTTTTTTTATTAGCTGAACTTATTTGTACTATGTTTTTGATTGAATCCAGAAAACTCGTTTTTCAAAAGTTTTTCATCCAAACCTGCTAATGAGAATTTTTCAAGTACTGAAATCATTTCTCTGATGAGTTCTAAATATTACTGTTGAGCAAAACAAAGTTAAAAATGTTGCATTTCTAAATTTTTTTGCTTCTAGCTTCATTTCATACCTTCTTGTTCTTCGCTCATATGAATTTGTACAGTAGTACGAATAGCTACTTCTAAATAATCCCGTTCAGGTTCGGGTGTATAAAAAATGTCAACAGGAAATGTTCGACCAGAAATAGCTAATAATGGTGCTTTATCAAAATAATCTCGAAATTTACCAGCATCAAGTGTTGCCGACATAACTAAAATATAAAAATAAAATTCATTTATAAATATGCTTCAATAAATATTTTATTTACCAATTATTTTTAAATCAGGTCTTTGTTTAGCAACTTCTTTTAAAAGACCCATTAAAATATCTGTTGCCAATGTGCGTTCATGTGCTTCGTCCAATAATACACATGCATATGATTCAAGTAATGGATCCGACATAGTTTCACGTAATAACATACCATCAGTCATATACTTTAAAATAGTTTTTGATGATGAACAATTTTCAAATCGAATTGAATAACCGACTTCTTGTCCAAGTAAAAGATCCATTTCATTAGCAACACGTTGTGCAACAGACATAGCAGCAACACGACGTGATTGTGTACATGCAACACCACGTCGTTTTTGTCCATTTGAAGTAGGTAATGAAAGTGCAAAATCAACACACCATTGAGGAATTTGTGTTGTTTTACCTGAACCAGTTTCACTAACTAGAACAGTTACTTGATTTTTGTGAAGTATACTCATAAATGCTTCTTTATATTCCCAAACGGGTAATTGTCGTCGTTTTTTATATAATTCATAATATTGATGAGAATAATTTTGCTTGGTAAATCGATTGATTGTTGTTTCACTTATTCGAGAGTTACCGTAAGAACCACAAGATTCATTTCTATTTCTATTGGTTGTACTAGTTTTCTTATTATTATGATCATCTGCTTCAGATGAGTCGTCAAAACGACGTTTTCGTAGATTTCTCGGTTCAGAAGAGGAACGGGTCATCCATAAATGACGCTCGGTAAAAATTGACCTTTTTGGATCCCCTCTCTCCTGGACATCTGATAAAATCTTCTTTTTTCTAAGAAAATAGTATAAGGTGAGTGGAAAAAAGGAAATTACGCAATTCTATTGCAATTATTTGTTTTACTCTTTAATCAGAAATTTTGATTAAAATCACTATTACATCAAAGGTAATCACAGAAAAAGTCTTTCTCTGAAGCAAAAAAACACAAAAAGACGAAAAACTAAAGTAAAACGCTGTAGTTTATGGCACTAATCATTGCGGAGTTATCATTCTTCAACAAAATCACTAGCTGTTCATTTAAATTAAATGAATAAAATGCAGTAAAATAGAGAGTGTAACAAAATAATGTATTTGTTCATTTATTAAGATGAGGAAAAATACATCTATTATAGAAATTCATGAATTTTCGATTTTATTTCAAAGTCATCTTCAGATGAAACTATTAAATCTAAATCAACTTAAGCCAAACCACTTGAAACGATTACCACTACCTGTTTTACTAATATTAACAGCATAACTATCTTCATTAACATATCCAGTATAACCTGTTTTAGATGTTTTTTTTTATAATTCAAATGTGCTTATAATAACTGCAACATGTAATAATAAATCAAATAATAGTTGAGCAATATAATTTCAATTAAAATAAAATAAATAGTTTCATCTGCAGATGACTTTGAAATAAAGTCGAAAATTCATGAATTTGTATAATAGATGTGTTTTTCCTCATTTTAATAAATGAACAAATACATTATTTCGTTACGCTCTCTATTTTACTACATTTTATTCATTTAATTTAATTGAAATTATATTGCTCAACTATTATTTGATTTATTATTACATGTTGCATTTATTATGAGTATATTTGAATTGTAAGAAACATCTAAAACAGGTTATGTTGGATATGTCAATGAAGATAGTTATGATGTTAATATTTGTAAAACAAGCTGTTCGTGCTTTATAATTTTCAATAAATAAAACTAATTTCGCTGAACGAGATATTTACCCTTGCAGCAAAAAAATATATAATGGCAGAAGTTAAACAAACACAATCAATATATGGGCTCAGTAAACGGCGTTATCGAGGTTCTTCTTAGTTGTCAGATTAAACCAATGAAACGCGCTTCAATAACTTCGCACTGGCAAAAGCGACATTTTCAGTCAAAATTTAAAGGCATAAAATATAAAATTTGAAAGCCGTTTTCCAGATGTCTGGCTTCGTCGGATTCCCTCCTCCCTTTTATCGAAAGTCCTTCATGGATGCCCCCGAAGGAGAATCAACGTGCAAATAATGTTTTCGATAGCTCATTATGATAATTGTCTGAAAGAAAACGAAAGAATGTCTAAGAATTAATGAAAGCACAAGTGAATAATAGATGAGACAGAGTAAAAATAAAAGAAGAATTTGTTTTCACCATTTTGTTCGAATGTAATTTTGGCATCATATATACTGTTTTAAAGTGGGAACTGTAACAAACTGTACCTTGATTTTTTGATTTACTTAGGGCATACCAAAAGTAATGACGCCGACAGTATAATAGCTTACATAGGGTGGTAAAGGAAATTTTCTTTCTATACAGTCTGATAGAGAAAAGAATACTCTATTTTTCTATGCCATTTGATCATACTTCAACTAATATCATAAGAATAAAATTTTCGATAAGAACTGTTTTTGTGTACAACTTCACTAATATGTCAGACAGATTAAATGGCCACTCTTTGCATTGCAATTTTCAATTACTTAATAGGTTGTATTGAAAAAATAAAATATATCACAAGATGCAGCGTGGAAAGCTCTACAATGTACAAAGTAAAGCTTACTTTAATTGTGTACTTCTTGTTTTCAAAAAAAGCAAAATTCTGTGCGACCAATTTTCACTGCTCCAAAAAAATAATGTTTTTCTAGATGAATAGAAATTCCTTTTTTCTTATTTCATATATAAAATAAACTGTTCTTAATAAATTGTAGAGCTTTTCACGATGCATCTTGTGGTATATTTTATTTTTTTTATTATAATCTATTAAGTGGTTGAAAACTGAAACGCAAAAAATGCAAAGCGTTGCCATTTAATTTGCCTCACATATTAGTGAAGTTGTACACAAAAACAGTTCTTATCGAAAATTTTATTCTTATGATATTAGTTGAAGTACAATCAAGTTACCATAGAAAAATAGAGCATCCTTTTCTCTATCAGACTGTATAGAAATAAAATTTCCTCTACCCTCATATAAACTATTATAGCGTCAGCGTCATTACTGTTGGTATGCCCTAAGTAGAATAAGACAAGTCCATCTATACAATAATTTGATTCATTTCGTCTGTGGTGAAATTATAATACATTCCATTTAGAAGTTGTATCCAATAAATTCTCTTTCATTTGTCAACTCATTTGTAATAAATCTAAGCGACTATAACTTGTTCTCCTCTCTGTTTCACTCTGTAGGAAATCGTTATGCACTCCTTTCTCTATAGTTACGTCTCTGATAATAGCTTCCAGTCCCAATCGAAATAATTCGATAAGGATGAACTCTTCCACTCATTTTCGATCCTTTATTTATTGTGGAACGAACGCTGACACTATAACAATATCCTAATAACTCTTCGAAAAAAAGTCTTGAAAGCATCTGAATAGAAAAGAAAATCAAATCTGCTTTTCTGTTTTTTAGTCGAGTATCTGGCAATCCCTTCCTAATATTACTAATGTATAAGCATACTATTGATGAAACTGAATCAATCAAATTCTTTTATATAGCATATAATGTCGATCAGTTTTAATTATACGAAGAATATTCACAAATCCAACAAACATACCTACTAATTTCTACTAGGGTATACTGTTAAGTATTTTTTCAATTTTCAAGATAGACCATTGAGCACGACTTCTTTTTTGTTTGGTTTCATTTTTTCCGTAGATTGCTGAATTTATTGAGACAAAAAATATCAAAATAGATATTCGCGAAGAAAAATCATAGCACAGTAACACTTGAAAAATTTAAATAACTAGAGGACTTAAAGACATAAAAATCGACGTAATCTGTCTTGGAGAATCAAAAAAATACTAGTCGTTTGTTTTTTTATAGTCCAAAACGACGACTTTTCAAACAATGTTGGTGACGTGTACTTCAACTAATTAAAACTTACCAATAAGAACCATCGCGCTAAAAAGAAGTTGATTAAACTTTCCTGAAAGCAGAATTTTACTATCCGATTGCGGACAAACATTATCGGAACTTAAAATAATTCTTGTGTACAATTTAATGATTAAAACACAGAGGCAATAAAAAATGTTAGTTAAGATCTCGAGCCTCTTTTCTTTCTTTCTCACTCTTTTCTTTTTTTCTTCTTTTTTTTCTCCTTCTTTTTGCGAAAGATGCCGGTTGTTGATGAAGTTTTTTTTATGAGTAGAGAGAGAAGCAAATATGACAAAAAATAGCATTATTTGCAGTTCCGTCCAACGCTCTCGATAGTTTTTGGAAGCGGGAGGAGATAAATTTTTTTCACAGACAGTATCTAAAATTTTTCACAGACATAGTTGAAAATCTAATGGGGAAGATGAAAGGGGCCAGGTCAAAAGTTTACGAATTGCTTTAAGCAGAGGTGATATAAATTTTTTTCTAATGTCAAAATTGCGTGAAATCCTTTTTGCTGGGAATTTAATTCGTACGAAACGTGAACTTCAGCAAGCTTCACTAACTACGTAGTACAGAATCAGAGTCAATATCTCAGGGAACAAACATTTTTCACAGATTGCTAAGAGTTATACTTTCCTTTAAAATTACCGAAAAGAAGTCTTTCATATTCAATGCAGAGGGGTTGCTCAATATTGTTGGATGTGGGTGTCGGTAGATTGGCCAAGACACTCACACCCCACACTCAGAACTTTTTGTCCCTCGCAATTTTTTGTTCTTTTCATTTCTTTATATTAAAATAAGAAGTTTTGCGTCTGTGTAGCATAATGTGCAACATCTATATTATATTTTACAAGTGTTCTTCTTCTTCAGGAACTTTCATATGATTGGTCACAGAACAAAAAAAAAGTATATATGAGTCATTGCACGAGAACCGCGACCAATTCTAATATAAGTTGCTCAATGACTTTCTCCGATTTTGATTTTGATTAAAGCAATAGATAGTACTACTAAAGTTAGGTATATGGTAAAATTTTCAACGTTCAATACCTTTCCATTGCTGAGAAATAAGGACTTCATTTCTACCACCCAGCGATAGGAACCACTGTAGACGTTATTTTTTTAAATCATGATTTAAAAAAATAACGTCTACAGTGGTTCCTATCGCTGGGTGGTAGAAATGAAGTCCTTATTTCTCAGCAATGGAAAGGTATTGAACGTTGAAAATTTTANCTTGGAACCAGTGTGATCTTAGTTGGAACCGGTCCTGGAGCGAATCGTAATGGGAAATACTCGAATCCTGACCTAAGATATCCTACGTTGCTTTTTAGGCTCTTCGAAATGCAATCCGCATTTAGAAAAAGAAATATAGATAACAGTAAAAACGTCCATTGTTGTTAATAAAGATATCTCTTTTTTCAAATCTTTCTGCACACTAACAAAAGTACTTGAAAATGAATTGTACAGTTGTTCATTTCGATGCATAGCTAAGAAATATATATTGTTTGAGTAAGTGCTGTTATAGATTATTTAATGAGCAAAATACATAGCAAATTTCTAGAAAATAAGTTCGAACTGTTTTGTTTAGTGAAACACTATCTAAAATGAGTGTTGAAATGTAGAAGTAAAAATTTGGACTCTGTCCATAAACCGTGACAAAAATCTTAGCAATGTTCCTTCTCTTCATAGTAGACCGTATACCAATGGCATCTTGTTATACAATATGAAGTGCTTTCTTATTACATTTCTGAAGGACTAAGTAGAAGGATGGTGAAGAAATAAGCCGCAAAATGCGTAGAGTACAGAAAACTCCGTCTAATAAACAACAGTAGCTAAATTATGTTTCAGA